ACCCTCCCCAACCCCAAAATAAAATGTACTCACTGTGAGCTTTTTCAGATGTGGAAGGGGAAAAAAAAAAAAAAGAAAAGTAAAGAACGTATTAAAAGTGATAGTTCAGGGTGTGTTGGTCAGGTCTGAACAGCAAGTTGTCTGTACAGGTTCAGCACAGCTGCACTGTAGTGGGGAGTATACGGGAAAAGGAGGGATGATGATCAGGGCAAATAATTTGTTGTTTAGCCTTTCTGGAGATGAGTGGTTTGCTGTAAGCTTAGTCAACTGTCAAATCCAGCAGTGAGTAGAAAGAGATCGGTTCAGTTTGAGGAGATGGTGGGGAGAAGGGACAGATCATCGTTTGTGCCCATTCAAGGGCAGGAATTGAGATAACTGATTTACCCGCAAGTGATGAAAGGCACTGAGTGCAACACTACAGTGTGTCTGTTGTAACTGTACAGGTTCAGAGCTTAAAAAAAATCCCATGTGACAGAGAGGTGACATCCCCACTCTTTCCACAGCCTTGCTTCTGAGATCCAGCACTGTTACTAACCCAGCCCTTGTGCACTGCATCCAGGTGTGGGGAGCCGAAGTTTGTTTTAGTGCCATGACCTACCTGTGAAATTACGCCAGGAATATGTAAGGACCTGCTCTACAAAGGTGGTGCTTTTCCCTGTCCTGGGGGTGAGAGTTTTACAGGTTTATTCGTTATTCGCTCTCCTCATTTGTTGAACATTTAAGGCCTCCTGTTGTGGGCCACTGATTTGACCAGACAACTGACTGTCATCAGTCATGACCAATTTCACCAGCGGCAGTGATCAGCTGGCAGGCTTGTTACATCCCTATCCTCAGCCAGCAGCACCACAGACTTTGTCTGTCCCCGTGTAGAACAGCTGTGCTCCAGGGAAACACCCCTTCTGGACACCTGCATGTTTGCATCTATTTTCCAGTATTACATCTGCCTCAGGCTGAGAAATGTTAAAGCTTTCCTTATGCCGTGACCTAAGGCCATGTTTCTCCTTATCCATGGTGAAAATGGTTTGAAAATTCACCTTCCTCGCCCATGCTCTTCTGCTCAGTGCCCTCCCCATGACTACAATGTGCTGTCCCTCGTTGTGCTGGGATATCTGTTTTGGTGTCTTTCCCCATTGACAATGCCTACCAAAGCTGTACCTCGCCTTCCTTCTCCTTAGCCATGAAGAGAAGGGTCCAATGGAATTTTAAAATGGCAAATTGTTCCTTGGGAAGGAAGCCTTTCTTTCACTCTGTGTTTACTAAGAGGGGTGGAAAAGGCGAAAGCAGGGATTATGGAAAGTAAGGAACGTAGTATTAGGCCATCAGATGAACCGCTGATGGACCAGACAGTGGTGGGCAGGCAGAAGCAGGGAAGCCTTGCTGTGACTCCTGCTTCTCTACCTAGTCCTACATAGGCTTCATATTTCATCTTTATTTAATACAACAGTCATTTTAATTACATTTAGAGGACCGTGGCTTTTTTCTAGACAAAGCAGAGCTTGGCACATGGGCTACCTTTGACTCATTGTGTCAAATTGTGTCAAACCATTGAACGCCGTTACATATTCTAAACACTACCAAGAGTATTTTATCCTGGAAATGTGACCTCGAAACTTGAATCTGTCTGCTGCAAACCATTGGTCTAAAGGAAAACGGTACATTACAGAATGACCCTCAATGGAGTTTTCATCTTTTATTTATAATTGGGTTTATTATTGCAAGCTCCTGTTGCACACCAGCTATCAAGTCCTCAGCAGGCGTAAATCAGCAGTCAGGTTAATGGAGCTAGACTGATCACTGCCAGACGAGGATACAGCTCGACTTGTAACCCAGCGATAAAATACAAGCTTCTCTGTAGTGCTGGGACTGAGACCTAAAACTGGCTGGTGAATTGCTGGTTACCCGAACACGAGAAGAAAAATGCTTTTCCACCCCAAGCCACGCTCAGACAACTAACTCTGCTGCTTCTACACATCTTTAGGGAAGAGCATTTATGGAAAACAACTTGGAGATATGTGTTGTTAGGGTAAAGGAGTGCCCATGGTCTAAGCACAGAAGCCTCCAAAACTGTGTAAGCTGTCAAAAGGATGATTACTTCTGGCAAAGGTCATTCTCATGTACAAAGAGGAGAAAGCATCCTTTTTCAGGGGGAGATACAAGGGCATTCTTGTGTAAGCAGTTTCCCAAGACCTTTGCTTTCTGAGTCTCCCCAGAAAGGGAGAGAGGTCAGACTTGTGACAGGGCAGGGAAGAGGACCAGAGAAATTGTCATTTATCTTGATGTAGCGATTTACTTTTTAATTAAGAATTCCTCTTAGTAGAAAATTCTTCCTGAAATAAGAAGGAGCTGCAAGAACGGAGCTTCACTGAGCAGGTGTGGGTGGCGGAGCCTTCTTTTATTACTAATCAGCATAGTTATGCCATTTATAGAAAAGGACATGAGGCTGTGCAGGGAACTTTCTGAAGAGGAAAAATACAGCCCTGCTTTGAACAGCGAGTGTGCTGCATAGGGTAGCCCATAAGAAAAGCCTCGTAATAATGCTCTCCCTCTCTTGGTGAAAGTAGGAGGTGAAAGTGGATTTACATGGTCCTCCCAAGCTACAGAGCTTGAAGGGATGAGTGGAGCACACGGCAGCGAATGTCAGGAGATCAGCTAAAAGAGAAGTAACCCCTTTTTCACCCAACAAAAAGCTCTTCTATAAATGATCCGTAAGCACTACTGAGAGACAGGATACACAGCTCTGAGGCGGCTTCATTGCTGTTGCTCCCTTTTGAGGCTGAAGTGAGACATAGCAAAGCTAAGAAAAGTACCTGTGCTGTGTATAGAGTTGGTTTCAAATGGAGAGATGGTACTTAAATGTCCGTATGCCCAAACCAGATTCTGAGAATTTAGGTTCCAGCTCTGTTATTTTAGCTAAAGGTGATTATTTTGGCTGCAGATGGTAGAGTTACAGATATCCACTGAATGTACTAACTGCATGTGGTAAATGAATATAACACTATAACTGAATACAAAAGGTTTCTAGTTTCAGTCTACGGTTTACAAGAAGTACAAGTGGCTTATTTATTTATTTATTGACTCCAACCATTTTAAGATCAAAGGGCTTTAGGCCTCGTGACATAAACAAAAAGTTCTTGAAATTAAATATGCTAGGAAAGCTTGCACTCCCAAAATATGGTTCTTTAAAAGGTTGCAGTGCAGTAACACTTTCCCTATGTCTTTGGCTTCATTACAATGATTAAAAGCAGCGGTGCAGTGTGTTTTAGTTGCAGTAATGGCAGGCAGGCAGAAGGTGCACCCAGTGCTGGACCGTGCCTGGCAATCTTCATTTCCTGACTGCAGCACGGACCAGCTTCCCCGTCTGCCTGCGCGATTCCACTTCTCATATTTCTCCTCCTAGTAATAACGCAGACCTAATGTCTATTCCACACGTATGTTTTATGTAAAGCAAGGTTAATATTGAAAAGCGTTATTTGCATCTGAAGATAGTGGAGCCTTTTCTGATTATGAGGCAGGTTTCTCGCAGTTCTGTAAGAAACATATTTTCTTTTCCATCCAGTTATAATGATCATGTGAGACGTGACAAGGAAACAGGAGTGCAGGACCAAAAGCCATCTGTTTCTTTTTTGGTATTTCATATTGCACGGAGCAAGAAGGTGGCAAAGCTCATATGCTTAAACATGGGGGTATAAAATATGATGGTAACATTTAGCGTGCTGTAAAGAGATGTCTTTGAACCAAAACCAGATATTTTTTTGCTGTTGTTTTACCAGCAATTCTTACCACAGCTATAGTAAAACTGGCTGCCACTTGTGTTTGCGAAAACTTTGCTTTCAAGATATTTTACATCTTTACTTTAGACAGTGCAGTGGGTGGAAAGTCAGAAAATAAGTAGTTTCTTCTTCAAAATTCTGATACTGTGGTTTTTTTTATTATTATTCCACATTGTGCCATTCTTGAGACTAATTTTATAACTAAAAATTGGTTTCATTTTAAAAATTGAAGTTTGCTGGAGGTTGAATGTAGATGTTGAATAGACTTCATTGCTATTTAATTTTATGAAATGTAGCTTTTTGCATGCATAGTGAGAATTCTGGTGTTCTCAGGTATGCCTATACCAAAGCTTAGAGTGCTTTACTTTGCAGTTTATTCCAACCAACTCTATTTTGTCCTTTTTATTTCTGCTTGTCATATGACCTTTTACTGCATTTACTCAAAGTGTCGATTTCTACCCTGCAGAATGATGTATAATGCGGGTTTAGTTAGCCATAAGCTCCCATAGGAGGTTTTTGAAGCCATACACTGGTGTTAGATTTGAAAGCAACACACTGGAAAAAAAAGGGGGTTGTGCACATCTTGTGCTAGCATTAACACATTTGTACCCAACCCCCTTTCCTCTCACAGATTCTGCACCTTTGCAGCCTTCCACTGCATCGTTTAGCTGCAGTATCTCTACTGTGGATGACCGGATTAAAAAGTACCACCATAAATATACCTGGAACTTAGAAAGGAAAGGGAAATAATTGCCCTCTCTTTCATCTCGGGACTGAAGTGCCTTTCCAGTCAAAGAGATTTCCACTGCTTGCTAAAGACTATTCAGATGAGAAGAATACGTTTGGGATATTTGGGCTAGTTAGCTCTCACTTCCCTTTTTTTCTGCATTAACAGAATAGCCCTCTTTGTAAGATCACCCAATTTTTTAGACCTTTGTAAAAGTTTAGGTCAGTCTTGGAATCCTGTGCTTTTGTTGGCCTGTCACCAGTTGGATCACGTTTATAGAGAGTCTATTTTTTTCCCCTTAACTACTTGCATAGCCCCTTCTCTCTTTTGTGGTGCAAGCCAGAATTCCTGGAAGCAGGTTTTACTGCCTGCGGGATCTCGAAGGCTGCCTTCTCCACGGACATTTCCCTCTTCGGCTGGCTGAATGCCATCCCGCGATGCCATAATGCCATAATTTATTCAATGGATCCATTACTGATTCTCTGTGTATGTTTTTTGTCTAGACTGAGGAAGGGCGAAAAGTCATTCCGCCTAAATCTTCTTGGGAGCTGTCAGAGAGAGGCATCCTCTCACAGGTACAAGAAGTAGTGACTGCTGGCTTTGACACAATTGCACAGGAGCTTAAAGGTATTGCCTCTTCAAAAGATAATACAGTATCAAAAGAGGAGTTCTGGGATATACGTACCCGACACCAGCGGCTGACTGAAGAACAAGTAAGAACACCATATTATTTTGTCTTGTTAATTTAAGTGTACAACTGGGTAAATTGGCTATGGTTAGAGACATGTGTTTGCATATTGTTGTGTATAGGCAAGGAGTTTAAAAATTTGGATGAAATGAAAACGTTTTAAGACTATCATTCCATGAACATTTGTTGCTACATTTGTGGAAGCTTATTTTTTTCCTTATCTCTGAGTATGGTTATGAACTATAATAATCACAGGCTTTCTAAAGCAAAGTCATGGAGATGCTATTGCTAATAGCGAAGGTGTGAATTTACAGTGCAGTAGTTCTCTTTCACTAGCTCTTTATCTGTATATTTGCTATTTTAAAAGTTTCTTTTTTCAGTTTTAAGTTAATCCACTTCCAGTTGATGGGGGAAAAAGCCTTCTCAGCGTGAAATAAAAAGTATTTCCATGGGGAGCTAATGCAAATTCCTTTTTCTCAGTAGCTATTTTGTCCTGCCCTCCTTGGACAAAGAAAGGGGCAAGCATTTGACATTTCCCGGGCACCTCTCGGCTAAAGGTCCCCCCACATTAAAGATTCCCTCAGATTAGCAGAGTTTATGTAACCTTGAATTTAGCTTGAGTGACTGAAGTCAAGGTGTGAATATGGCAGTACAACCCATCTGATTAGCCCAGTGCTAGTCTCAGAGGAACCTGAAAGGCCAGTCATGAGATTCTGCTTCACCTGAACTTAAATTGCAAGGGCCATTTTTTTTATCTTTGCTAACGCTAGTTCCATGTGATGTTTTCCTTGTCCAATGATTGGGAAAATAGCAAAACGGGGGGAACCTTGACTAAAAGATTTCAGATTTTACTTAACAGCACTCTAACCTTCATGCTCACGGTTGCGTCAATGCCGTTTGGTAGCAAACTGAAAGACAAGACAGAGAGCCTCCAACCTCGTACACATGTCTGCACTACAGAAAATTATTTCCACACTTTGCACATTGCAGATATACCCTCTGAGTTCTTGGCCCAGCATTTGTGACTATAAGTTGCAGACAGGAGCAGGGCCTGCTTGTAATTACAGCAAAGGGATGGAACAGCCTGCCATGTTATCAGGCAATGCTAAAGTTGCAGATGAAAGCACTGGAAAGAAAAATATTTCCATTTCCCCCTTGAAAATAGCAGAAAAAAACCCACAATGGTCTGTGTGCTCTATTCCTCATAGCCACACCTCTGGTGAGGTACCAAGTGCAAGTGCCAGACCTGAAGCTGGAGCCTCAACACCAGGTGAAAGCAGGAGTGAGAATGTGGGGTTACTCTTTCCTCACCCCTGTGAACTGAGCAGAAGTGACAGGTTGAGCTGGTGGCTGAGCCCTGGCCGAGGCAGAAGAACTCATACCTTCCTGAGCTGTGAAAAATCCCTTGGTTTCTTTCTTTTTTTGGAGGCATTAAGGCAGGCGTCTCAAGCTGAAGAGTCCTCCAGACTAGATCCTGTCTACTTTACTCTCAAGAAGAAGCAAAGGGACACAGGAGCTATTTTATACTTAAAAGAACCTCAGACAAGTGAAGAAAAAAAAATCTTGATAGAAACTGTCATCCATAATAGCAACGAGAAGCAGGCCTGAGGAGCCTCATTTATATAAGCAGCAGCCTTTGTGTGAGTGAGACTCAAGCCCTGTATCTCCAGAGATATTTTGATTTTGACAGGCCTCTCAGAGATAAGCCTACGTATATCTATATGAAGATGCCCCAGGAGAGCCTTCCAATCTGGGTACAGGGTTTGCCACTGCTAATCCAAACCCCTGCCGTTCTGGCTGTTGTCACTGCTCAGAGTTGTTACAGAAGTGTTACTAGTAGTCATAGTCTGGATGACTTCACAGAAAATGTCTTCTTTTATCCTTTTCTGGATGATGGCCACTTACTGTTTGCTATTAGCAAGGCTCAGCTGGAGTCTGTATCAAGCAGTGGATGAAGAATTTCTTCCTGACATTTGGCCTCTTGGTCTTCTGAATTTCTGATACTGTGACCTTTTTTCATAAAAGGCTAAAGATGGTAAACACACTGCAAGCAAGGCGTTGATTAATATCTTGCCCACTGATATCCCCCTTTTTATCACAGGCACTTTTCTCTGCTTGAACTCCTTTGACTTGCTTGCACTATCTACGATCCCCCAAATGGCTAAACTTTGGTGGCTGTTGAAATAGTTTCTAACTATAGCTAACCCAGCTCATCAGGGTATTGTTCTATTTAATTGAAGTTTGTAATACATTTTGAGATCCTCGTATGAAGTGTGAAGTATAATCACAAGCGCAAAATAGAATTGTTTATAATTCATAATGTGGTAGCAGCCAGGCCAATGGGGGAAAGTTGAAAGGAAAATCAAAATGTATCCTTTGCCCTTTGAAGTTTGACTGCAACTTGGCACATGCATCAAAGAGGTGACTAGTTTCCTTTAGGGTTTAAGTCTCTGCCGAAAAAGATCAAATCAAAAGCAATCTGAGGTTCCCAATTAGATTTATATTAAAAATCAATAATGAAGACCCTAAAAAGGCATACTGATGACTCTTGAAACACTCGCAAAATGAGTGCAGCTCATTTAAGGGCAGGCTGTGATAATCCTTCCTTTGATTAGTTACTTATATCATGAGCAGTTCCATTTAATTCAGTGCAGCAACTTACTGAATAAAGTGCTGTTCAGCAGGAAATCAGGCCAACGTTGTCCTTATTATTCCATATGTAACCCAGACAGTGGGCTACTTGCCCCGTGTTGGCCCAAGCACCCCCATGGACCTCCACAGGCAGAAGAAGCAAGGGTATCAGCAGCTGCACCCAGGTCTCCTGTAGGCTGGCTGTATTGTAGAGGTGCAATTCCTGACCATACATCGTAACTATATGTGATTCTAAGGGCTGTAAACATTTCCTGCTATGTTTTTTTGGTGCTCATTAATTTTTGCCCTCAGGGTGAAATAATTTGTTTATGCAAATACAATAACTGAGGAGCCTTAATGGCCTCTTGAGATGGTGGTATAACTTAGGTGCACCTGATAGCATGAGAAATTTGCCTCAATGGTACTTAGCCAGGATACAGGTGCACCATGTATTTGATTTACATCTCATGTTAAAGCGTTATTCTTCTATACTGCAGCTCAATCACTGTGTCTAATCACAGGGTTTAGTAGTTTAAATAGCACACAAAGGGCCCAATTCAATTAAAAAATGTCCTGCAGAAATCCTTTTTTCATTGTTTTCCCGGTCTTGTGCAGGCTTCTGCAGAGAAGCTGTGATTTTTTTTTAGTAATATGGGCTCTAGGATTCCTTCTATTCCAAGGCATCCTCTCCTTTTCTTTTTGATATGTTTTGTCGTATTCTTAGTAGGCAAGGGGATTCTGTTGTAAAAATAGCATTTACAAAAGTCATCTTTTGCTTCTTCATTAGTTCGAAAATCTTTGGAACACAGTGAATTTCAGTGCTGGTGGACAATTGAAGTATGATGTCTTTTTGAAGAAGTTCAGCTCAGAAGTTGTAACGGTACCATCAAGGGCTCTTGGTGTAACTAGCTCTGCAACTTCTACCAAGCCAGCTGCCCATAGCATGCAGGACCCATGCGTGTTTTCTCAGCCTGAACGTCCCAAGACATCATCTTCTCTAGTAGGGCAAAAAAGCGTAAGTGTGGTTGTTTTATGAATTTTCTGGATTTTCATGAGGCAAGTTACCTTTAAGAGAGGTAAGAGAAGTGGATGAGGAATGTAGTAGTTCTGCTTCATTTTTGCATCCATACCTATACTTCATGTCAATAACACATTTTGGTCCTCTCCACTGCTATGCTGGCCTCTTACCCTAGTGCTAGAATTCACAGGAAGGTAAATGATTACAAGCAGAAAAAATAAACATCCCTTTTGTGGAGCTGCACCTACCTAGTCCACATTCTCTGGCTACAACCAAACCTTCAACAGAAAAATAAAATATTTAGAGTTATTCAGTGCCTGGAACATGCTTGGATTTTCTGACTACTTCTATATGGAGATGTTTAGCTACTGAAAAAGAAATAACAGATTGAACAAATTAAAGATGCAAACAACTTGTCAGGGCTGGTGAATCTAAACATTGGCCCATTGCTAGCTCAATTATCGCATTAACTATAGGCTCTTTCTTGAGAAGCCCAGACAATTAGCTTCATACATCCTTCCTGCTTTGATCCAGTCCCAGAGAAAGCAAAGGACAATTCCCCATTACTGTCTGTGAATGTTAGGTGGGACAGTGTAAGACAATAGGAAGGGAATTTCAATCTCCCCAGATTTATGGCTGTTGGAAAGACCTCAACAACTAGCCTGAACACTGATCAGGATGAGTGTTCCTGCAGCATTCATTGCATGGAAATGTGTACGAGGCCTCAGCAAGTCCGCACCAGTGAGACCCTCAACAGAGCACTGGGAAGTCTCACCAAATATGAGATTATAGATTGGATCTGGAAGCATAAATGCCCCTTGTGCAGGTATCGTACATGGCAGGCTGAGGCTTTACTTCCAGCTCAACCACAGTACTGCTGGGGCAGCAATCAAAAAGACACCGAGCCCCAGGGTCCTCTCATGTGGCTTGGCATAGGACCAGGAGTTCTGCCAGTAACAAATCAAAGCAATGTTATTTTGTCATTCTGTGTCTTTCCACTGGTTGGTTGGTTTGTTCTAAGATGGCACTACATAGCTTTTTATGAACATGGTATCTGTCTCTTTATAAGAAGCTGTTTGGAGAAACTTTAAATGATTTACAGATTAAACCAAACAAAGGAAAAGAGGTCAAGGCCCATTAAATGAACAGCTAAGAGTGTTTTCACACTTTTACCTGCAGTTTTGCAGATACAATTCAAATCAGACTTAGAAGTGGTTTAAATTAACCTCAAGTCTGGAAGACCAGAAACCAGATTTCTCATCTGATGGTTTGTCTACACAACCAGTAAAACCCAATAGAAAAAAATTAACATTGTCTCTCGCTTTTAGATACCAGCATCCAGTCGTCCACCGACAACAACAACTTGTTCTGCACCTGTCCTTAACTGTGAAACAATAGAAACTAAGATAAGAAAGAACATCCAACATTCCTGGAGAGACATACTGAAAGTGTGCAAAGAGAAGGATGTCAGCAATCTAGGAGAAATCCCAGTGTCAGACTTCCTAGGTTCGTTGCCATCTGAAAAGTACGTTATTTATTCACAGATGCTTTCTGTTTTCTTTCTGGTGTCCCAGCCAGAGGAACATCTGGCCTCTAGTAAGAGTCAACCACTCCATAATTGCTTGAGGTACCACGCTGCTATTGCAGAGCAGAATAGCTTACATTAGCCTTGGGTGCAATACATTCATGTCCCTACTCAGAATTAACTATTCCTTGGAAAAGGAGTGCATGGCTTTGCTTGTGGGTACTTACAGTATGTACACAAGTTATCTCATCACCTTCCCAATACACTACCCTTACTTGTGCCTGGGGATATTTGAGTAAATAGATTCATCAGTCTTCTGGTTGCGCTGGTCTTGATGGTTGAATGCCCACTGATTTGCAAAGACCCTGGATTTTACTCTTACAAGAGCTGACCTATGCTGAGCTTCTGTTGTGCTCTCTTGTGGAGAGAGGATTTTCTATGCCTTTGTTAGGATGTTTGCATGTGTAATAAGACAGTATGCACCTGTATAATCGAATGTAAAGTCCTGGCTATAAGAAGCTGTTAGCTTATCAGATCTTTTATCTCAGTGAAGGAGTAATTCTTGTGCATTTAAAATCAAAATGACGTGTTATCAGTCCCCTGAAATTCTGTAAAATGGGAACTGCCATGCTGTAAGTAGAGGCATATGCATATACCTGCCTAGAGCAAGAACTGCATAACATACGTGTGCACCAGTCACTGTAACTGATGGCCTGTCTCATATCCCTGCTAATACTTGGGAACAGAGGAAAATGCCTGGCTATTTTTAAAAGTGCCAAAATGAATATTCTTTCCTTGCATTTCAGATATAGCAGATATAGAAGTTCAATTTGGATTTAAGTGAAGGGGAAATTAACCACACAACAACAAAATATGATTTAAAGAAAAATGGAAGATTTGCATACTATGACTTCCTTCAGAGTTTTATCTTGTTGTTAAAACCACAGGAAAGATCACTGTTACAGAGGGTAATTACACAGAAGCCACCAAACCTGGTAAGTACAAAGCTTTGTGGCGGGTTGACCCTGGCTGATGCTCACCAAAGCCACTCTATCACTCCCTCCGCAGCTGGACATGGGGGGAGAAAATATAACAAAAGGCTCATGGGTTGAAATAAGGACAGGGAATGATCACTCACCAATTCCTGTCATGGGCAAAACAGACTCGACTCGAGGAAATTAAATTAATTTATTGCCAATTAGAAGTCAGAATAGGCTACTGAGAAGTAAAACCAAATTTTGAAACATCTTCCCCTCACCTCTCCCTTCTTCCTGGGCTCAACCTCACTCCTAACAGACTCGACTCGAGGAAATTAAATTAATTTATTGCCAATTAGAAGTCAGAATAGGCTACTGAGAAGTAAAACCAAATTTTGAAACATCTTCCCCTCACCTCTCCCTTCTTCCTGGGCTCAACCTCACTCCTGAGTTTCTCTGCCTCCTCCCCCCGAGTGGTACAGGGGTTGCTGTCTCTGCTGCTCCTTCATCCTCAGGGGAGGACTCCTCACACTCTTCCCCTGCTCCACTGTGAGGTCCCTTCCCTGCAGACAGTTCTCCATTAACTTCCCCAACACCCTCCCCATGGGCTGCAGTTCTTCACGACCTGGTCCAGTGTGGGTGCCTTCCACAGGGTGCAGTCCTTCAGGAACAGACCCACCCCCAGTGGGGTCACAAGTCCTGCCAGCAAACCCACTCCAGCACGGGCTCCTCTCTCTATGGGGCAACAGGTCCTGCCAGAAGCCTGCTCCAGCATGGGCTTCCCATGGGCTCACAGCCTCCTTCAGACACCCACCTGCTCTACCGTTAACCTCCATGTGCTACAGGGGGACAGCCTGCCTGACCATGATCTTCAGCATGGGCTGGAGGGGAATGTCCACTCTGGTGTCTGGAGCACCTTCTCCCCCTCCTTCTTTACTGACCTTGGTGTCTGCAGAGTTGCTTTTCTCACACATTTTCACTCCTCTCTTCTGGCTGCTGCCACACAGGATTTCCCCACCACACTCCCCTCTTAATGATGTTATCACAAAGGTGCTGCCACCATCACTGATGGTCACCTTGGCCAGCAGTGGGTCTGACTTGGAGCCAGCTGGCATTGGCTGTATTGGATAAGGGGGAAGCTTCCAGCAGCTTCTGACAGAAGCCACCCCTGTGACCCTCCCACCCCCACTACCAAAACCTTGCACCACAAACCCAATACAAGCTTATAGAAACCAAAATGACAGGGTTTTTTTTTTCAGTTTCTGCCATACTGACAGGATATCTCATGGCTTATTTCTATAGTCATCTTCTACAAGGACTTTCAAGCATTCTCTTATTATGATATTAATTGCCTAGTATTCATTTGGTGTCTTCTTCAGTGGGAGGATTTAATTCCCAGGGATCATGCTCTCTGTATCTGGGTTATATGGTAAATTTGCTAAAATTTGGACAAACATGGGAGCCGACAGTTTAAGAGCTTTTGTTGAACTACATAAAAATCAAGCTAGAAATAAAAAAGTGGATGTGATGGCCCTGATTAGAGATCTTGCCAGCCTCTGCTCCACACCCAGCACTGTATGAAAAGCTCCGAGGAAAAAATCTCACTTGCACTGCTGCTACTGGTCACTGAAAACACACTGAAAACAGGACTGGTGAGCACCCATTGCGCCCTTGCAGATCTCCCTGACACACATACCTGCTTCCCCAGCTGCCATGAAGAGGCAGAAGAGCCCCAGCAAGGCAGCGACGTGCCGGCTGCTCCCCGCTGCCCAGGGTACTGCTCGAGGGTGGAAAAGATCAGAAAAGACACAGAAATCTGGCTCTTGTGACCCAGAAAGGAAGGCATCGGTAACAGCATCCCAATCAAGTTATGTAGTAGGAACAGTGCCAAATTCCAAATCTGCTCATTCAGCGAGCCTGCTACATTTTTAGGTTGTTTCTGACTGTGCCTAATTAGTTTAGATATGGTTAGTAGCAGGATTTTATGGAGAAATTACATTACAGAACTGTTTTCAGATGTGGAACGAACAGATTGCTACCCAAGGTATGAAGAGAGTATCATTAGGAATTATCAAGTATTCACTACCAGTAGGGAGAGTAAGGTAAAACTATTAAGTTTTGCATCAAAGAACTTCATTATCTTACAGAAGGTTTCTTTTATACACAAATTTGATGCTGTAAAATTCCACCCCAGTATTCCGGAGTAGACAAAGCAGTAATTTTTTTAGTGCCTATGTAGTTATCTTAAATAATTTTTATTTTGTTTATTCTATTCAGAAAAAATAATGAAGGTCTCAGTCAATGTTCTGAGCACCTTTATATAATGTAATGTTCACACTTAAATTTCCTCATGGATCACTCAACCCATTCAGCCTAGTAGGTGTACAGATACACATCAAAAGAACAACTTTAAAAAAAACCAAACAAACCCACAAATATCTTTTTTGGGGGGTGGCAGGCACAATTCCTTTTCTTTCTCAAAAGCCTGAGAGAATCAATGGCCTAGGTCTTCATGGCAGCATCCATGGCTCTGAGCCATGAGAATAACCCAAGTTGATGTCATCGTAAAGTGGCCTTTCCCTCCCTTCAGCCCACAAGGATACTCAGTAGCTGGAAACTGCATTATTCATGTGCCAGCTCGTTCCTCAGCTACACAGTCTGAAGGAGGAATACCCCAAGAGAGCACAGAAAGAAGGAGCAGCTGCCTCCCAGACCCCTTATAAACTTGTGTAGGTGTGGCAGGGCCTCCATGTCCACACAGCAGATGTATAAAGCCAACTGTGCCCTTCCTTCACAAGGAGCTGAGGTCCCTTCCCTGCAGACAGTTCTCCATTAACTTCCCCAACACCCTCCCCATGGGCTGCAGTTCTTCACGACCTGGTCCAGTGTGGGTGCCTTCCACAGGGTGCAGTCCTTCAGGAACAGACCCACCCCCAGTGGGGTCACAAGTCCTGCCAGCAAACCCACTCCAGCACGGGCTCCTCTCTCTATGGGGCAACAGGTCCTGCCAGAAGCCTGCTCCAGCATGGGCTTCCCATGGGCTCACAGCCTCCTTCAGACACCCACCTGCTCTACCGTTAACCTCCATGTGCTACAGGGGGACAGCCTGCCTGACCATGATCTTCAGCATGGGCTGGAGGGGAATGTCCACTCTGGTGTCTGGAGCACCTTCTCCCCCTCCTTCTTTACTGACCTTGGTGTCTGCAGAGTTGCTCTTCTCACACATTTTCACTCCTCTCTTCTGGCTGCTGCCACACAGGATTTCCCCACCACACTCCCCTCTTAATGATGTTATCACAAAGGTGCTGCCACCATCACTGATGGTCACCTTGGCCAGCAGTGGGTCTGACTTGGAGCCAGCTGGCATTGGCTGTATTGGATAAGGGGGAAGCTTCCAGCAGCTTCTGACAGAAGCCACCCCTGTGACCCTCCCACCCCCACTACCAAAACCTTGCACCACAAACCCAATACAAGCTTATAGAAACCAAAATGACAGGGTTTTTTTTTTCAGTTTCTGCCATACTGACAGGATATCTCATGGCTTATTTCTATAGTCATCTTCTACAAGGACTTTCAAGCATTCTCTTATTATGATATTAATTGCCTAGTATTCATTTGGTGTCTTCTTCAGTGGGAGGATTTAATTCCCAGGGATCATGCTCTCTGTATCTGGGTTATATGGTAAATTTGCTAAAATTTGGACAAACATGGGAGCCGACAGTTTAAGAGCTTTTGTTGAACTACATAAAAATCAAGCTAGAAATAAAAAAGTGGATGTGATGGCCCTGATTAGAGATCTTGCCAGCCTCTGCTCCACACCCAGCACTGTATGAAAAGCTCCGAGGAAAAAATCTCACTTGCACTGCTGCTACTGGTCACTGAAAACACACTGAAAACAGGACTGGTGAGCACCCATTGCGCCCTTGCAGATCTCCCTGACACACATACCTGCTTCCCCAGCTGCCATGAAGAGGCAGAAGAGCCCCAGCAAGGCAGCGACGTGCCGGCTGCTCCCCGCTGCCCAGGGTACTGCTCGAGGGTGGAAAAGATCAGAAAAGACACAGAAATCTGGCTCTTGTGACCCAGAAAGGAAGGCATCGGTAACAGCATCCCAATCAAGTTATGTAGTAGGAACAGTGCCAAATTCCAAATCTGCTCATTCAGCGAGCCTGCTACATTTTTAGGTTGTTTCTGACTGTGCCTAATTAGTTTAGATATGGTTAGTAGCAGGATTTTATGGAGAAATTACATTACAGAACTGTTTTCAGATGTGGAACGAACAGATTGCTACCCAAGGTATGAAGAGAGTATCATTAGGAATTATCAAGTATTCACTACCAGTAGGGAGAGTAAGGTAAAACTATTAAGTTTTGCATCAAAGAACTTCATTATCTTACAGAAGGTTTCTTTTATACACAAATTTGATGCTGTAAAATTCCACCCCAGTATTCCGGAGTAGACAAAGCAGTAATTTTTTTAGTGCCTATGTAGTTATCTTAAATAATTTTTATTTTGTTTATTCTATTCAGAAAAAATAATGAAGGTCTCAGTCAATGTTCTGAGCACCTTTATATAATGTAATGTTCACACTTAAATTTCCTCATGGATCACTCAACCCATTCAGCCTAGTAGGTGTACAGATACACATCAAAAGAACAACTTTAAAAAAAACCAAACAAACCCACAAATATCTTTTTTGGGGGGTGGCAGGCACAATTCCTTTTCTTTCTCAAAAGCCTGAGAGAATCAATGGCCTAGGTCTTCATGGCAGCATCCATGGCTCTGAGCCATGAGAATAACCCAAGTTGATGTCATCGTAAAGTGGCCTTTCCCTCCCTTCAGCCCACAAGGATACTCAGTAGCTGGAAACTGCATTATTCATGTGCCAGCTCGTTCCTCAGCTACACAGTCTGAAGGAGGAATACCCCAAGAGAGCACAGAAAGAAGGAGCAGCTGCCTCCCAGACCCCTTATAAACTTGTGTAGGTGTGGCAGGGCCTCCATGTCCACACAGCAGATGTATAAAGCCAACTGTGCCCTTCCTTCACAAGGAGCTGCTCGTAGAGACTGCAGTGACACGTGCAACTGGCACAAATGGGGCACTAGCCACTTACCCAATTACAATCATAAATACCAGGAGAGTGTCGAGGAAAGCTGAGATGGAATCCACCCCCAGTGGGGTCACAAGTCCTGCCAGCAAACCCACTCCAGCACGGGCTCCTCTCTCTATGGGGCAACAGGTCCTGCCAGAAGCCTGCTCCAGCATGGGCTTCCCATGGGCTCACAGCCTCCTTCAGACACCCACCTGCTCTACCGTTAACCTCCATGTGCTACAGGGGGACAGCCTGCCTGACCATGATCTTCAGCATGGGCTGGAGGGGAATGTCCACTCTGGTGTCTGGAGCACCTTCTCCCCCTCCTTCTTTACTGACCTTGGTGTCTGCAGAGTTGCTTTTCTCACACATTTTCACTCCTCTCTTCTGGCTGCTGCCACACAGGATTTCCCCACCACACTCCCCTCTTAATGATGTTATCACAAAGGTGCTGCCACCATCACTGATGGTCACCTTGGCCAGCAGTGGGTCTGACTTGGAGCCAGCTGGCATTGGCTGTATTGGATAAGGGGGAAGCTTCCAGCAGCTTCTGACAGAAGCCACCCCTGTGACCCTCCCACCCCCACTACCAAAACCTTGCACCACAAACCCAATACAAGCTTATAGAAACCAAAATGACAGGGTTTTTTTTTTCAGTTTCTGCCATACTGACAGGATATCTCATGGCTTATTTCTATAGTCATCTTCTACAAGGACTTTCAAGCATTCTCTTATTATGATATTAATTGCCTAGTATTCATTTGGTGTCTTCTTCAGTGGGAGGATTTAATTCCCAGGGATCATGCTCTCTGTATCTGGGTTATATGGTAAATTTGCTAAAATTTGGACAAACATGGGAGCCGACAGTTTAAGAGCTTTTGTTGAACTACATAAAAATCAAGCTAGAAATAAAAAAGTGGATGTGATGGCCCTGATTAGAGATCTTGCCAGCCTCTGCTCCACACCCAGCACTGTATGAAAAGCTCCGAGGAAAAAATCTCACTTGCACTGCTGCTACTGGTCACTGAAAACACACTGAAAACAGGACTGGTGAGCACCCATTGCGCCCTTGCAGATCTCCCTGACACACATACCTGCTTCCCCAGCTGCCATGAAGAGGCAGAAGAGAGCCCCAGCAAGGCAGCGACGTGCCGGCTGCTCCCCGCTGCCCAGGGTACTGCTCGAGGGTGGAAAAGATCAGAAAAGACACAGAAATCTGGCTCTTGTGACCCAGAAAGGAAGGCATCGGTAACAGCATCCCAATCAAGTTATGTAGTAGGAACAGTGCCAAATTCCAAATCTGCTCATTCAGCGAGCCTGCTACATTTTTAGGTTGTTTCTGACTGTGCCTAATTAGTTTAGATATGGTTAGTAGCAGGATTTTATGGAGAAATTACATTACAGAACTGTTTTCAGATGTGGAACGAACAGATTGCTACCCAAGGTATGAAGAGAGTATCATTAGGAATTATCAAGTATTCACTACCAGTAGGGAGAGTAAGGTAAAACTATTAAGTTTTGCATCAAAGAACTTCATTATCTTACAGAAGGTTTCCTTTATACACAAATTTGATGCTGTAAAATTCCACCCCAGTATTCCGGAGTAGACAAAGCAGTAATTTTTTTAGTGCCTATGTAGTTATCTTAAATAATTTTTATTTTGTTTATTCTATTCAGAAAAAATAATGAAGGTCTCAGTCAATGTTCTGAGCACCTTTATATAATGTAATGTTCACACTTAAATTTCCTCATGGATCACTCAACCCATTCAGCCTAGTAGGTGTACAGATACACATCAAAAGAACAACTTTAAAAAAAACCAAACAAACCCACAAATATCTTTTTTGGGGGGTGGCAGGCACAATTCCTTTTCTTTCTCAAAAGCCTGAGAGAATCAATGGCCTAGGTCTTCATGGCAGCATCCATGGCTCTGAGCCATGAGAATAACCCAAGTTGATGTCATCGTAAAGTGGCCTTTCCCTCCCTTCAGCCCACAAGGATACTCAGTAGCTGGAAACTGCATTATTCATGTGCCAGCTCGTTCCTCAGCTACACAGTCTGAAGGAGGAATACCCCAAGAGAGCACAGAAAGAAGGAGCAGCTGCCTCCCAGACCCCTTATAAACTTGTGTAGGTGTGGCAGGGCCTCCATGTCCACACAGCAGATGTATAAAGCCAACTGTGCCCTTCCTTCACAAGGAGCTGCTCGTAGAGACTGCAGTGACACGTGCAACTGGCACAAATGGGGCACTAGCCACTTACCCAATTACAATCATAAATACCAGGAGAGTGTCGAGGAAAGCTGAGATGGAATTGTATTTTAAGGAAATAGTAGAGCAGCTCCAGAGCCTGCAAGTGGCCTGGGACTTGCTGGTTTTTCCCAAAGTCTCTTGCTCATCGCTCCGGTGTTAAAGCTTTGTACAAGTGGAATTAATTCTGCCTTAATGAATAGTTCTGCAGTTTGCCTGTGTCAAGGGTGCAACACATTTAGCCAGGCTAAAACAACAGGCCCTGACATGCTCCATGGAAAATTAACCCTGTGGTCCAGCTATGGAACTCAGAAAGGTTCAACAGCTGGTTGCAAGGTATTTTATGTCCTTGGGAAAGTGTACAGTAGGGTCTTGTTTTTGTTAAATACCGTACCACTCCCACAGATGACTTATGCATTCAGTCACTTTTAAGCAAAAATTTCTCTCAGAAAAATGAAAACTGCAGAGAATTAAAAACGACTGAAGGAGGGAGTTGAAACAAGGACAAGCATAATATATGTGAAAACACTGAGATCTGAGCAGAAGTAACACTGACTTCGGAATCAGTTTCAAATAATCACTGTCAAAGCCCTAACTTTTCATTAAGTAAATATACCATCTGCACTTCCCAAGAATATCAAAATGTTATAGGTTAAAATAATCTAGTGTAAACAGTATCTTGCAATAATTTGTAAACAAGTATTCAGCAGCCCGTCGCAGACTAAGGCAGCATCACAGCCCAACACCTTCTCGTTCTGCGCTATAGTCGTGCCCAGTTGTGCTGTAACGATGCCGTTACTAAACGCCAGCCTTTCTCATCCAACTTCGTTAGCTGAGTCCTGGACCACAAACCACATCGTTCTTCAGCGCAAGGCTGAGAATTCAGCCCCAGATCCTGCACTGCTGGAGACCAATGAAGGAGAACTTTTCAATCCTACGATGAAAGTCATACTGGACTGTTAACATGTCGCAGATTTCAGACAAGTAAGTTGCATTTAGCAATTAACAGTCAGAAAATTGCAGTAGCCTCATCTGAGCTTCACAACTGAAAATTTTCTGATACGTGGCACTGAACCAGAATGCATAAACTCACCCTGGCCCCTCTTTGAGACTTTACCTCTGACCATTAGTCATGGTAAGCTTTCTCTGCATGCGATTACACTTCCTTGAGGTCTGAGATCTTGGTAAGGTCCTGAATAGATAAAACAGAGAAAAACCTTAGTCCCTATATAAAGTTTAAATGCATATCTTTCACAAGAGCATGGGAAAGGAAGCATACCTTCTGCTAGGTCTCCCTTCAGGCTCTGCTGCAGCTGCAGGATCCTGTGACCCTCCAAATGATGTGGTCCCTTCTAAATGTACAGTGGGCTCAAGCAATCAAACAAGACCTAAGAGTCTCTGTTTTTGGTGTGTCTCTCTGCTTTCCTGGAGGTTTTTTTCTGTTTTGTGCTAGGCAGGGGATCTGTATTCTCTGCAAATATTTTAGTATTTCATACCTCCTCAAATACACACCTGTGTATACTGGATATCAGTGATTCTATGTCTAGATCCATGGGGAGTTTGATTTGTGCTTAGCTGTACTGGTTTCAAAATCTTTGATATTGTTTTAGCTAGGAAGAATAATCACTATCTGTTCTGGAGTAATTCTGAATATTTGCCATTCAACTGCAAGGGGGGAAAAAAAAAGAAAAAAAACACCGCACAGGGCCCTAAACCCATTTAATGCTGTGTGCATTAGGACACCCCTTGGCATCACTACTATTTCAAAGAACCGGTCGACTCGTGGACGTGATGCTCAATGACAGCAGGCAAATCCTTGGCTGCAATAAACAACAATAAGGTGTGCTTCTAACTCTCCCTTTCCCCTGGAGCTGCAGGAAGCCAGCTTGTAGACTGTAAACCTGGTCGACTATAAACCTGGTCAATTATACCGGTCACAGAAGTGCTGTTTTAAGTCTTTACTTATTTAGGACTGGTGGGAACGTGATACATTCTGGCAATGCCACATAGCTGAAAGCTGAGTCCCTGCCTGCCCCTCTGTGAAGGCTGAGGAGCAAAATGTCTCCATGTGGCTGCATCAGCCTCACGCCTGAGGCTCCCTGTCTATCACTGCAGCTTTCTGACTGCTTGGGCACAGCATCAGCAGACCAGGCTCAGGGGAGGAGGAGTGAACATCAAGCCCGTTGCATTTGATTTTAATTTGTCATGTTCCTCTAGGACATGTGATGATTTCCATTTCTGGTTAAAGCAATGTCAACAACTTTCAGATCAAGCTTCCTAACATGATACAAGCTAAGCAAAAAAAAAAAAAAAACACTACCCAAAAACCAAAAAAGCCACCCAATCAAACCCCAAACTCCTCGTGGATCTAGATCAAGAAGAAATCCTTGATCCCAAAACCCTACTACAAAGGTGTTAATCTGCTGTTTGACAAGATATCAAGTGATTTGTGAAGGTACAGATCCCTTTATCTCCTAGGTAACTTAATTTACTGAAACGGGGAAATTAGCTCTCTACTAACATCAGTAATACTGCTATTTATGGCTGTACTATCTGCAAGGGGTCATTAGCGATTTCTGATGCTGAGCTGTTAAGAGGGAAAAGGGTAGACTGAGTTTGCCAGAAAACTAATGACAACTGGCATAGCACACAAGGACACACTTCCAGGGTTTAAGTTCCCAATTGCATCTAAAACTAGAATTAATCCTTAAAAATCAACATATTATTTTCTTTTGTGGTAGGGCATTGAGAACATTTAAAACTGTTGAAGTGCTGAAAAAATGCACCGGGTAAAATACTTGAAAGAGACAGGTATCTGACCTGGCTTTCAGTGTCAGTGAATCAGATGCATCCTGGTCAAAGTAGGTTTTCATTGAAGTGATAGGAAGGCATGCTTACAGGCTGAGAGTTTGCCCCATGAAAATTAAAAGCAGTGAGTGCATCATGGGCATTATTATATACATAGGGGTTTGCACAATTTGAGGGACCGGATTATTCCTTCTATTTCTCCAGATGCAAAAGCTGCAGATCATCCCAGGAGGGCAGAAAGGAAGAAATTCCACCTCTTCACCTCATCTCCAGATAGTAGCGAAAGCCTTTTAAACATATACTTTTTGTAAATTAGCTTCTCTGCACACGGGTGCTACCTGTTTCCCAATGCTTCTGCAGGCAAGAGCTAGTCAGGCTAGTGGACTAAACCCCTGCGTGTGCAAGTTTTCAGATACGCTTCACAGGGAGCCACTGCTGGCATGGGAAGGCAAAGAGATAATGAAGGAGGGTGTGATTTTCTTATATTCTGAGAGTCCTAGGACATAGTGGAGCTGAATCAAGTTATTTTGTAAAGACATTTGTAAAGGAAGATAAACTACTGTTTTTACTTCTTGCTCACCCAAAGTACTGGAGTAAATATTAAAGTTGTCTCTGTCTTTTGTAGGTTCTTCAGGAGTACGGCATCAACCTAACTGAAGAGGAGTTATTCAACATTTTGGAATATTATGATAAAAATGTCTTCAAAAATATCCTATAATGATTTTCTCCGGGCATTCATACAGTAGGATTTGGTCAAATGCAGGAAACTGCAGATAAAGACAGTGACCGATTTTTAATTTCAAATTTCAAACTAATAAATTAATTGAGTATGTCTTTTTTGTATCTATTTATTTGAAAACTCAAAATACTTTAAAATTCTGACAGCAGTCCTGTGTTGTGGATTAAATCTACATAGCGAGGGAATTAATTTTGCATAATCCATTTATCAAAAAAGAAAAAGACAACAATTAGCATTGTCAAAATAATGCTTCCTAAGACATCTCCACAAGCAATTCATTTAAGGAAATTCTTTTTCTAATTTTACGCATTTTATTAATGACATACTCTTAACTTCAGTAAAAATGTTTAGGAGGCATACTATTCAGTTTCCTCAATTGTCATTTTCCATGTGTATTAGTTTTCATGTTATCCTTCGTTATTAAAAAAAAGTCATCCCATTTCTCGGGACATCTTTTTCCTCTACTTGCAGTGCCCTATCTGCATTGTCAAAGACATGTTAATATGGACTGGCCATTGAAATCTGAGCAGACACCAATTGTGTGTGGACACCACACCTTTCTCTATTAAAACTGTTCTTCTGCATCCTTCAGCACAGTTTAGAACAGAAGCTACTTTATCAATAAGCATTGGCTTCTTAACTGCATAATATTCCCAGTTTTAGCCTTGAGGTGTATCTTTTTAAGGGTAGTATATTTATATATATTCATACAATACACAGTAAACTGCAAGTAAAACCTCTGGTTAGATTTCCCCTTTCTAGAAAAGTTCTGTTTGAATACCTCGTGAGATACCTTCATCTTGGTGAGAAAATGAAAAGATAATTGTTTGACTGTTGAACTCTTTCGATAATTAAAGGATAATATAATCATCAGATCCTGCTTCCTGCGATTATATCAACAATTAAACACTTACCTACCCTGAAGAACCGTTAGATAAATATTTCTGTCTGATTCCTGAATTAGTATTCGTTGGTACACCAAAGAGCCCTGTCCTCATCACCTGAACTGATCTGGTACATTTCTTTCTCCCAAGTAATATATAAAGATAAGCCAACAAAAATTAATAAAACAAAAAAAGAGAGCAAGTTATGTGTATACAAACACACACACATGGATATATGTATATCAAGGGAAGTCTTCGGAGTGGGAAAGGCAGAGGAACATAATCCTGGTTTTCTTATTATTTCTAGTGAACCATTGAGATGAATCTGAAAGATTCCCAGTGCAGAACACTCTAATGCATGGTTTGGTGTTGGTTTTTTTTTTTATAAAACGTTTCATTGCATTTGGAGCTTTTCAGGAGATATTTTGTAGATTTTGAGTAAAAAGCACTGGGGATGTTTCAGGTTGGATGCTCTGTATTGTTCAGTTTCTAAGATTTGTGTAATTTGTGCTCTAGTATGAAATAAATACATTTGGAATTGGGTATATTTGAAATAGTAACATAAAATATAGTTGCTAGACTTTTTTTCCAAAACTGATGGCTATCTAAGTCCCTGAAATTGCTGCTTAGCTCATTTGATTAGCAGAGACTGGAACTACTGTTATTTAAGGACGTTCTCCCACACTAAATCAATACAAAATTTCCTAGTTCCATTAATAGAAAACAGTGGGTTTTAAGAACACACTTGCATATATCAGCAAGGGACTAAAAAGGGCTGGTTCTGGTTCAGTTGCCTGAACACAGGCGCGTGTAGGCTATTCCCACGTGGCCACCCCAGCAGGGCCTGTGTTAAGAGCAGCCAGCCCCACGGGGATGTCTCCAGTGTCAGAGGGCATCTCAGACTGCAGTAGGTAACTGAGCCCAGCCCAAGGGACATTCCCTTTAGCCCCACTTAAGATCCAATTAGTCTGGTTTTGTTTAATTTTATCCTTGTAACACTGGTGTGAAGCCTCAAACTGCTCTGCTCCTTGATGGCAGCATCTTTCCTCCTCCCCAGTCAGGTGCCCGATTTAATTTCTGTTCTTATTTCATACAGTTTATGTACTGAATTAATCATTCATATTAATTAAAGAATTAATTGCTCTTTGGAATACCTATGATTTTAGCTCAAATACTACATTAATTATTTTTAAAATAGTGGATTTCACTATGCTGATCTAGCCAAGGAATAAAAAAAAACAACAAAGCAACTACTTAAGTAATTATTGGGTAGTGTTGCTTGGGTTTTGGGGTTGGTTTTTTTACCCCCAGAAATCCCCTACACCTCCTGTTTTATAATTGGGTCCAATTTGATATCAAGTATAATGAGACTTCCATCCCTGTGCTGCTTTCTGGCATGGAGTGTGGCTACCGTGTTTCATGAAGGGGTGCAGGAGTTGTGTCCCTTGCTCCACCACCTTCAAGACACCCGCTGTCTCCAGGAGAGGTGATGCAGCGAGGGGATGGATGTCTCCGGTTTCCCTGACACATCCTGCCAGAGGATTTTTCATTAGTTCGACTGGCAGGAGTATCAAATCCAACAACTCCAAAGGGATTAAAGAACAATCTTTTCGCTGTACAAACAAATCAAATCCTGCTGGTTTTTTTAGTGAGTTCTTAAAGGCAGGGGTGGCACTTACCAACTGTTTATCCAACCTCAAAAAAAACCACCCAAAAACCACAAAACCCAAACTGAATTTCGACTGCCAGCATTTTGAAATTAGCAAGGTAATTTTTCATATTAAAATTGCAAACTGATGGATGGATAAACTTTGTGATAGGAGAGGGCTTTGTGTTTTTGCAGCCATTCCCCCTAGCTGAGGGTCAGGAGGGGCTGGCAGAGATCCACCTCGAGGTGGATAACGTCAGTGGGACCGAGCATTGTCCCAGGGTGGTGGTCTCCCACTGCTGTACGTAAAGCTGAGGCGGCAATGAAAATACAAGCAATGCAAGTCTCAGAAATTTCATTTCCCAAGTGGAGGACAGCGATCCCACGTCTGCTCTGGCAGGGCCACCCTTTGCTGTGTCACCCCCGGGGGGAGCAGCACAGGCACACAGGCCCCTGCTTTAGGCAGGAGGTGAGGAGCACAAAGGCCTCAGAAGGGTTTCAGCAGCACATGTCCCTGCCAGAGCTCCCTGCGAGGCATCATCTGCCACCACCGAAACACAGCAGCAGGTGATGGCCACCTCCCTGCTCCTCACCGGCCACCAAGCCACAGGGAGCCGTAGCCGGCTGATCCCTCCAGTCGTGCCTCTTCTGGGCTTGGTAGAGAAAAGCCCTTAAGCAGGGTCTGTCACCTCCCTCCCTGAGGGTCCCACCGCAGAAGGTGTTTGCCCTCATGCACTGGAGCTGGGGTATGGCCTCCTGGCTGCAGCCCAGCCCTCGCACGTGGCTTTGCGATGGGCAGCCGTCAAGCCCTGGTCTGATTGGGCTAATCAAGCTTAAACCTGTCAGGTGTCCTGCAGGGCATGAAGGGAGGGCCAAGCACACCCCATAATCACAGGGGAGGTGTCTGCTTTTGGTGTCCCCTCCAACAAAGCCTGGAGAACAGCAGACGAGGGTCCCCAGGGTCCACTCAGCTGTGGACAACAACCTGCTCCCTTCCAGAGCATTGCCAGACCCCTCCACCCAGCCCCAGCTTCTCTGTCCCCGAAACCAGCAGTCCCTGTGACTGCCTGTGGGCCTCTTCTGAGCTAGAGACAAAAGGTTTTTTGCTAAGGCTAAAGGAAAACGAGTCATCCAGCAGCATTTTAACATAATTATAAGTTTTGTTACCTTCACTCTGGAGCAAAATACACTAACTGAAGAAGACCTAAGCCACTAACAAACCTGGTGCTGCGCAGGAGCCTCCTGTCGCCTCCAGGTCACCCACCCACCAGACCCCTCTTATTTCCCCACCTGCATAGATAAGTTTCCTTCATTGCTACATCCCTCAAAAAAGCAGCTACTCACCCACAGCCACACGGTACCTGACAGGGGCTGGAGAGCAGGCATCTTTATCTCATCGCTGCCAAATGACGTACTCTGGCTGTTCAGAAAACCCTCTTGCAGAAAGAAAATGCCACAAAGAAGCGCTCAAGGGTAGAGGTAACTCAGAACTGGCCACCAGTGTGAGGAGAAGCCTCTCAGAGCCACAGGCTGTCCACCAGCACACACCACCCTGCACCACAAGAAAACTCACACTGGCCAAGCACCATAATAGGGCTACCAGGCAATTAAAAACCAATATAATTATCCCTCAATAGCCAGGAAGTGAATTTCATGTGTAATCAGACAATAGAAGACGAGACCATGTCTGCCCTTAGATTATTTTTTTTTTTTCCCTCCTCCATCTTTCCTCTCAGGTTTTTTCTCACTTCGAAGTCCCTGTAAATATGGACCCTCACCAGTAACATGTGCTGCTCATTAGCACATCCTTAAGCCCACCTGAGCTACTTGGCCTCTCCAAATCCCCTGCCCCGAGGCCAGGCTGCTGCTATTGCCAAGAAGCAGGGGCTGTTTTGGGGGAAGGGGCAGCCCTTTTGGAGCAGGGCAGAAAGGCTGAGGCACAAAAGCCGTTTGCTAGAAGCACGAAGAAGCAGGACAAGGGGAATGAAAGATGGGAAACAGTCAGGGGAGGGAAGGAAGATAGAGGTTTGGAGACTCTGTACCAGCTATTTCTATCTCCAGGGCTTGGCATGGAGCCTACGAGAGCAGAAATAGAGTCTCTGTGCTCAGAGGATAAAGAAGTAGGGGAGGGCAGAGAGGGGACTGAGGCTAACCGAAGGAACACAAGAGAAAGGAAAGAAGGAAGAGATTCATATGGGCCATCTTCTACACCAGCAACTGGCATAAAGCCTGCAAGGCTAGAAATAGCACATGCTTCAGAAAAAGAAAAAAAATCAAACTTCTTCAGAATGCAGTCATTTCATTTGTTTGATTAAGGCATTACTGTGTGAAGTGCCTATATCTCTGTGCAATTACTGTTTTTATATGGATGACATGCAGCAGGTCATGAGCAGTAAGGGATGCTCCAAACACGGGAAAATGAAAATCAGATTAAAAAAAAATCTATTTTCTGAAAAATAATTTTCTTCTGTTTTTGAATTTTTCTATGCTAAAGGCTGTCATGCAATGGAAAGAGCATTATTATGCTGTGAAAAGAGTCATAAAAAGAATTTTGTATTATATCAATACTTAAAATATGCAAATATGATACCTTCACAACGCCCCAAAATTACGCTTGGCATGAATTCTTAGCAACAATACAAATATCATCATCTTCAAATAAGCAGGTATAACATGCTGCTCAAATAGCTGTAAAAACAACCTCATCACAGCTCTGGGAGCATCCACATTTCATCTTTGATGTAGGTAGGTTTTAAGTAGGAAGGGGAAGAAAGTTGTCTTAAACATCAGAGTGTATTGGGATGAGCCTTAGAGGAGCAACTGAATATTTAACATGGAAAGCAGACCTGTCGGCGTGCGTTTACGGAGCCATTGTTCCAATAAAAACCTGGTTTTGATACTGTGCAGGCTCAGCTATGAGGACTGAGCACCATGGCATAACCTCCTCCTCCCTTCCCAAATACCCACTGAAACAGGGTTATCCCCAGGCTTCCATCCACTGCGGTTGAACCTTATGGTAGCTAGTGTCTGTCGTTATCACTGCACATAAGTTGGCTGTGTTGTTTTTTTTAAAAAAGGAGGGTGAAATAGTGAAAAGAATATAGCACTGAAGTTTCATGGGGAGGTGGATACCCTTTCGCACCTTCTTTCAGTGTAAGCACTTTTACAGGGCTTGATTCTGATCTCGTTAAATCAACAGCGGTGCCGTGGCTCCGCTGAGAGTGGTGGATTTACCCCAGCACTTGAGATCAGGATGAGAACTCAGCACTTTATTTTATTTTCTTTCTGCTGCAATCAGATTTTTCAAAAAAGTAGCAGCTATTTCTGCTCGCTCAAGAGCAAGACTGGCAGGAGGGTTTTGCCCGAGGAACAATGCATCCTGCTCCATACACTGTACAGAATTCCCATCTTGTGCATTAGAATAGATGTTGAAACAGTTCTAATTAACATTTTTAA